TTATAAGAGTTTTCAGATTCAACAAAATCCACATACGTGTATCTCCAGACACTGGGGGTGAATAATGAAGTGTGGTGATGGGGCCCATTACTATTGGGCTCAGCCGACCAGTGTTCACGTCAATACGCAACTTATTCTTTTGCTCACCTAGTAAGATGGTCCATGTAGGCCCTGGTCTCTCTCCCCTTCTCCCATGCATTGTATTTACCAATAGGCAATACTGCAGCCCGCTAGTAGTGTGTGCATGGATGATGAACACGTACGCGCGGGCACGTACATGTGTGCCGCACGGTACGGTGGATATTTACTGCCAATGGCAGTGATTCACCCATACTTGACCGGTGTCCGTTCATGCAGTTGCTTGTAAGACTACTACTACAGTACTAGTACTACAATGTACATTGTACGTGACTTGGAATACTTCGAAGTAGGATTTAGAAGGAACGTAGACACCAAGTCACACCATCTTAGTAACCCTTCACAATGCCAGGTTAGTAACCCTTCACAATGCCAGGTTAGTAACCCTTCACAATCAGGCGCAGAGAAGGACCTGATCTGATGTGTGCTGTTGCCTGAATGTTTGTTGGGTCTGACACAACTACCGACTTCCTTGAGTCACAGTGAGGGAGATGGTAATCTCGAGTCGAGGGGATGCACGTCTTTGCTCGCACTCTTGACAAATCGTGATGCTGTAGAATGCGTTACACAACAGGGGTCTTCCCGGCGAAATCTGCTGAGTCATGCGTCTTTAAAAAGAAATTCCATGGCTCAGTGGGTATGCATTCCCATGATTACAAGTCGTGCACTTCCTATTGCTAATAATGGCCAAGTGGAACGTGCGCACGTGCATGGTGAGTGTGGTCGTTCTAGCACATACATGTACATGTATTGTAGATTGTACTAAGTCTTGTAGTTATTTCGTTACTGGCTTATATCTTTGCAGTACAGTGTCTAGAGTCTAGATTCGATCTAGGCGTAGGAGTCTACATTGTTACTTTAGCATAGCCTGAAGTAGTCGTCTTTCTCCTCCAGAACATGTAACATGGCGTCACATATTCGTTCTTAGCAGGAACCGGAGGTTTTTCCTCTGGTGAGAAGGCAGAATTGCCTGTGCTCTAAACGAATTCAAATAAAAGAAACAAACAAACAAACACCTCACCCTGGCCTTTTGTCGTACTCACTCCTCTCATCTCACCTTGGGTTCTCAGCTGCACCCCCTTCATCATGACTATGATCCTAATACTGTAATAGACAGGCTCTGACCTTCCGCAACATCTCACCGCGGTTACAGTACAATCATGACGTACTATGTGTGTCTAGTGCTCCTACCAGTAGTATGACGTTTGCTGTACATGTACATGTACTGGCATTGGGCTGACAAGACTGCGGCAATAGTGCTGCTACTTGTACACCGCTACTTGGCAGTATTACTCAAGCACACTCATGCACTCAGCACCCTGGCTTTGGGCTTCAGCACCAAGTGAAGAAGGAAGTGCTGAAGTCGAAGACCATGTCGTCAACAACACCAAATCTAGCACAATGACCACTACAGTTGACCTGTTTACAAGTACAACTAGTACCCAAAGTGGTGTTAGTATAATTATTAGCTGTCCAGCTACATGTATATCACTTTCCAGCTACACTGTATACATGTACATGTACATGCACATTGTATGACCGTGTTGTGCGCAACACTATTGTAGTACCCGCTATTGCTAAGTACTAGTAGTGGAGGGGTACGGGTCACCATAAAAACTAATGACTATTTCAATTTCTTATTTGAGGACTTGTGGAGGCAGTTGCACCCTGTACTTGTAGATCTACTTTACTAGCAGAGGCAACACAATGTCATCGTATCTACCACGATGCCAAGATAGTCGTGTTGGTGCCAGAGCCTAGGCCCATGAATGTTCCGTCAGGCATCTGATGTTTTCACGTTCCATATTCTTGCCAGCCAAACGTCGTATCACTCACACGTACATGTACATGTACATGACATTGTAGTTAGCAAGACTGACTCGAACAGAGGGCAGCACTGTAAAAAGCCACTGTTCGTCCATTCTGGACTCTTCAGCGCAGTACGTGACATAATTATACTGTCATGTACACCTATTGTCTTATTGACTGGATGGGTCGCCATTTTTGACACTTTCTACTTTCTACTTGACATTCTGGGATTATGGTCCAGTACCGGATATGGTGGCTTGGCATTCCATGACCGTGGATGGCAAGATCACCCTTATGCATACTGTAGACCACATGTACATTGCACATTTACAATGACAGTACACATCACTGCATCATTCATCGAAGAAGCACGACCTAGGGGATCTTCAACTTTTCAAGTTCAGCACGTAACGACGGAACATCGTTGTTTAGGTGCATTATTAATATCATTATTAGCATACCATTTTATTATTATTATTTATTATTTATTACAACATCTCAAGACTCGGCGGAAACACCGGCCAATGTTACGAGAGTGGGTGATTGCCAACCACGGCGATAAATAGAAATAAGGGGAGGGAAAAAGAAAGAGTAGCAAAACGAACAGCAACAACAACTCCGTAAAGAAAGATAATGTCAAAAAAAACCCATCAATGATCATGTAGATGTACATGTACATGTAAATGGGATAATATTATACTGTACAATCATGTAGTAGGTACTCAGTACTACTGACAGTAGGCGATTTCTTTCATCTCGCGCAAGCCGCCCGCCGCACCGTGCCCAGTCTGTCTCTAGATCTCACATGGTAATCAAACAGCTCGGGTGCAACGGTCGCCATGGCTCACTGGCACTGGCACTGTGGAGAAGCATAGTAATAAAATACAGTGTAGTCACTAGCCATGCATGCCCCCCCCCCTCCCCCCCCCATCGGCCCTTGTACAAAAATAATAATGTATGTTTAATAATATGCACGATCTCGTACGGATCGTGTACATGTACACCTGCCCATGCACTGACATGATGCAGTGGCCATGGTAATCACTAATCACTACACTACACGGGCATGTGTCTTGTGTGCACAGCATACTGGCACAGACTCAGTGCTACCCTGTTTGTAGGGGCCGCTCTTTACTTTAGTTTAGCAGAAGTGTTCAACAAGCACAAGCACTGCACGTGTTCGTTCACTTATCACGTCTTATGTCTTTGCTCCGCATCTTCTGACACCCTCGGTCGAGCGTCTGTATTTCGCTGTTCCTGCGCTGATGACTGGTCGCAATAGTTATTATGGTTGAGATAAGACACCTACTACTACTAACTATTACTTAGAAGGAATGTCAGGTGGCGTTGCCCAGAGAATCACACTACTACATACTACTCAAGAGTAACACAGTTACTGTCATGTACATGTACATTCGAAGTACTTGTATGTGACTCAAGTCAGTTAGTGTGAACTGGGCAAGCAATGCCATGCATGGCATGCCTAGCCAGCACAACCATGGCATGCCTAGCCAGCACCACCATGGCATGCCTAGCCAGCACCACCATGGCATGCCTAGCCAGCACCACCATGGCAAGCCTAGCCAGCACCACCATGGCAAGCCTAGCCAGCACCACCATGCACACGTGAACAGTATACATGTACATGTACTTGGACAATTTCCCGTTCTCCAACCCTGTAGCTGTGTGTTTGACGCCCGTATCGTAAACTATTACTTACTAGAATGGGGGAGATTAGGGTATTTCAGCGTTGAACCCTGCAAGACGCGTTGACCCCATCCTATCGAACAATCGCAGATGCTGCTACTCTTGCTGACAGTCATGTTGCCGTCACGTTCCCATTTCCGTGGTGACTGGTGAGAAAGATCACGTAGCGACATCACGTGACCCCGAGGTATCTTTAACCTCTTCTTCAAGGGCGGGCAAGATGGCAAAGAGGTCTGTCAGATACAATGATTATGCAGTGTATACACACGGTACGGGCAATCACCAACAAATCACGGACAGTTAATGTCATGTGCATGTAGGTAAATGTGCATCAAGACAACAGCATCAGCAGCTCCTGACTGCTCTGCCAGTTGCGACATACAGTAAGATTCAGAGCAAATTACGCGCACGCGTTTGAGCCATGCATACACGGTCACCCTCCCCGGCCGTCTCCACTTCTCCCTGCAAACCGGCTTGGCCTTTGATGCGCGCAACTGTCAGAGCACAAGCAGGAAATGATGGCAGGTATTCGCAGCTCATCTGTTTACTGCGCAATCCTCTTCGTCCCCGCCCTAGCCCTGTCGCCTGTACATGTACACTGTATAATGCTGTATGTACTGTATGTGCTGTATGTGCTGTCTGTACATGTCTGTATGTACCGTCCACAGAATTGTGTAGTTAGTATTGTGATGCACAATACATGTACGTTCATGTATGTAAAGCTGGTGGTGATGGCGCGGAGAAGCAAACCTTATGTTGTGTTAATTTAAAGGGCTGCATCTACCACACAGGTACTAGGTGCTGGCTACTTCTGTATCTCAGTGTTGGACCCACGTAACGGTCGTTTTCGGTGGTCTGCAGGACGGAATAGTGTGATGTCACGCTGCTCCAAGATGCACAGTCATGCACATGTATGCTACGGCTGTGACACATTTACCACCAGTACCCCACTAATACACTATGGCCGTGAATGATTATGTATGTCGATCCCTGGTTGGCTGCAGTGTGATCGTGGCAATGCCTACTTGTACTAGTTGTAGTGGTGGTGATGATTGTGTTGTTGAGAGCGAGTGTAGTGTGTGATCGGCGTGACCGGTTCTAGTACGACCTGGTGCTGGGTGCAATCAGCGGGTGTAATCTGGCACGACTAATACGTTCACTTCTACACAATGTGCTTAGGCCAGGGGAATACGTGACACTTCTCGCCTCCAACCCACGATCTCCACCCTGTTTGCCCATCAACCTGATGAAGATATAGTTAGCATCGCCGACATGTCCTTGGTCGAACCTTGCCTCTCGCTGCCTCCAGCTATACCGCTCGCAAAGGAAAAGCCTTTGGCTGCTTGGCTTAGTCTAGGCCACAAGTCAGCATAAGCCAGCTGGCAAGCCAGCGCCTCCTGCTTTCAACAACGGCACCATTCGAACTTCTAAGCTCAGTCTGTGCGGCAGGCACTAGGAGAAGATTTAACCTAGATGCTCATCCCCAGAGATAATGCGATCCCAGGCAATTTTAATCATACAATATATGTACCACACGTTTTAGAAAGGTATAATGTTATGGCAAAGGGTGTCAGGTACTAAAGTAACATATCAGTTGGCGAAAACTGTCACAACCTTCTACTTCCTATGCTTGTGACTGTATATTGGGCCAATCCCTCGACCAGAGGCATTTCAACACTGGCTGCAGTGATTTGAACACAACAGGCTGAGGTAGTGGCATTGTGGCCGTGTGTTTGTCTCAGCGAAAGCGTCTGCGGCAAAAGGACAAGTCTGAATGCGTGATTCTCTCGTCTCACATCACGACTCGGACTGCACGAGGTGATCTGTGCGATGTGCACAGTACATGGTCTGCACGACATCGACCAATCGCCACGTGCTAACTCTCTTGATTGTGTGAATATCGTAAACGGAAACGGAGGTCCTTCTTTGATCAGTTACGGCGAGATTAATATCGGTAAGCGCTGAGCACGTGCTCCGCGTGAAGATCCATGGCAGTACATGATTGTACATTTTATGACTGTACTCGTTCGGAAGGTGGGTGATCCGTAACGGGCTGCGTGACAGTAGCCCAATGGCAATACACACTACCATCTCCTAGGCTAATGTACCCGCGCTGACCGTAGGTACTTTTCGAGTCCTGCTGTTGAGCTAATCTCAAGTCAAGCGTCCTCGCTTCAGACTTCGGTACACCAGGAGAACATCATCAAGTCAAGTACGGCTGGAGTACTTTACCTGGAGACATACTTACATGACTGTACATCGCCCTCGCGCCCATCATTCGAACATTTTGCAAGACTTTCTGGGCCCTGACCGGTATAACCGCGCCGACTCTAGTGGCAAGTTTTGAGATGATAATTGCTCGCTGACTAGATATAACAGGTTCTTGCACGATGGGAGCGCTAGAACACGTTGCTCTGACGCCAGTATTGCAGTAAAGAAGAAGTTGCTGGTTTCCACACGCTAGATGCTGTATCCAGGCCTTAGAAGATCGGCGTCGGGTGATCGTCACTGCAACGTCTTCAGTATGGACAAGCAGACTAGAACATGCACTTCAGACTACCCTCCAATTGTACCTATTGTAACATACGCGGCTTCGGTTCAGCCTCATGGGCCCTTATTAGTTTCAGGAATGCAGCTCTCGGGAGGAAACGCAGAGGAAACACAAGTAGCAGTGTCACCACCAGCAGCAGCAGCAATGCCAGCACCGCCAGCACCATCGACCATCCCAATTCCTCGTCAGTATGTAATTGTACAACAAGCCTTTCCAGCAATGACATCTCCCTCCTCCTCAAACAACCAAGCTTCCAGTTTCCCTATGTTTGCACAACCCATGACCTTCCAGGCACCAGTAAACGTTGTTTATTCACCACACTACATTGTTACTACATCAACTAGTGCCAGTAGCTCTTCGCCAGTGTTTCCAATTCCTGTTATGCAGCCTCCAGCATCAATAAGCCATGTTGATCACGAAAGAACTAAAAGCGAGTTGTCTTCATCAAATGAAGAAGAAGTTCCATTTTCTCCACGACACAACCCTCAATATGCAGTTGTCCCGCAGCCTGCATTTCATCTCCAGCCAGTAGCTGTTTCCCAGTTTGGCAAAGACCATCCCAAGATGGAAACAAGCTTACAGAGAAAGTCCTCGACTGACTCCGGTGAGTATAGCACAATATCCTTACAATGGTTTCTATTGCGTTTCCTGTTTCGTGTTGTCCTGCTACCAATATCCGACCGCGAGGGAAATGTTTTAGTCATAGTAAACGAGATAACTGACATCAATTGCCCCGTAAACGACCTTCAGTTCGGGATTCCTGTGTTTACGTTCAATAATTTCGTACAGTTGTCTATGTTTCGTAGGCCAGATTCCATAGGCCTTTCACAATAATATAAATGATCAATATGAAGAAGGCATTTGAGAAGAGGGCCATGATGTATTTTGATTAATCCCCATAGGAAGGAGTAGAGCTCACCGGCCATTTACCAAGGGTATGATGCCCAAAGGTATTGCCCCTCTGAACGAGAGAAGGACTGTAACAGCGAGACAGACACCAAACATTGTTCGTCTTTGGAATAACAGTAATCAGTTCTTGTCTATACCTCAATCGAAACTCATTTATTTGGCGCCTCAGTTGTCCAGCCGGATGAGCCAAACACACTTGAAAAGTACCAATTCTTGTGTCAAAGTTTATGCTAGAGGGTGTACGGGAAATACAATGTAGGTCGAGCACAATCATCACTATCGTCTTCACCATGCTATTCTTATACAGTGCACTGCTGAAAGAAACATAGATCTATTATCAATACCAATCTGCCTGACGACTGGGCCCTGGCCACGAAACTCTCATTTGCTGCCATAACCTGGTGTTAGTCATTGTGTCATTTTGTCTCTGACACCAAAAAGAAGTCCCACGGTTCAATAAATCACTCAATACTCATAAGAGCAGAGCACAATGACTCAGTGATTATTTAGTAGACATGGAATCATGCCTGTTTGAAGCGGCCTAGCCAATGCTGTTTTGGTCTTCCTGTTTGAAGCTGACGAATCACTGCCTCACAGACTGTTGGTGATAGAGCTCCTAGGCCCATTTTTGTAATGGCACCTGTGTAATGACTGCTTTCACAATGGCTGCTCTCACTAAACGTCTCCTCCATTCGTATCAGTAACACATGTACATGTACTTTCGCCTTTGCAGATCACAGCTCACTGGACAAATGCCAGGACTTGGACTGCAGCGAGGAGAACCATCCGGCAGCACCCATGGGCGCAGTACAGATTGATGGTGTAGATACCACAGCGGCAGCGGCAGCAGCAGCAACATCTAGCCAAGCAGCTCGCCCAGCCTGGATGAACCGACAAAGGATTCGTTTCACAGTGGACCAGACAGCTCACTTGGAAGACCTATACAAGGTCGAACAATATCCATCTCTGGCCACGAGGAAAGCAACTGCAGCTGCTTTTGGTCTTCCGGAAAAATCTGTTAGGGTGAGTCCCATACTTCAGAGCAGAAACCTTGTGTGTATTGCTGCTTATTGCTGAAATGTGTGTTACAAGTTTCTATTCCCCAAAAGAGCATTCTTATATGCGGGGAGCCCAGTGTTCAATAGTCTGAGCATGTCTAGCTCTGGAAATGGTCATGACCCTATTAAATAGGAAAGCTATTTTTTTTAGTTTACAAATACTTGATGGAGTGACTGGAGTGTCGGCTCCATGTCTGCTTCGTCCCCTTTCCCAATAAATTATTTATATTGGCCCACTGTTGTCACAGGACAAAGTCTGTTCCCATTTCCAAAGGTTGTATTTCAATAACGAGCATCCCCTAGCTTTTGGCATCTTTTATTGCCCAGGGTCTCGGGACACGATTGTTGTTCTCACCCACTAAAACGGTTGAAAACGTCTTCCTCCGAGAAATTGTGACGCAGCGTGTGCATGTACATGTAAGTGAAGTTGATACCCAGGTTCTACCAACGATAACAGTGTGACTGCAGTTTGCTGACGTCTATTTTCGACAGGAAAACACGTTTAAAATACTGTGATCCACTAAATCGGATACCGTATCCCTTTCAGAGGGTCTTGTGTGTAGTTGTGGTTCTAACTTAGTTTTAACGTGATACATAGCATTGGCTGCAAGCATGTAGAATGCTAATATTCTAGATGTCACCTCCGCTGCTAAGGTTGCCAAATGGATCTACTTGAATAATCAACGTAGATGATTTTTGCCACCCATCTTTGTCCCGGATCTTACCAGGGCGAGGTGGTACTAGAAACGAACCTAAGACTTGTGGCGCACCCTCTCTATAATCTGGCTTTGACATTTGAGGGCCATCTCTAAAGAAACACGTACATGCAGATATCAGTACACTCTCGGAAACGTTTTTAGGATGGAAATAAAAGTAAAAGTACTTTTTCGTCTCCATTCCCGAGGAAACAAACCATGGCATAAGATTTGTAAATTAATCTGTCGTGATCAGCATCTCTAGTCTGAAGTCAGCTAATGGTTGAAAGTTACTTAGTACTGCAGTGCATGTACATGTATGTACGAAAACCTAGTGCTTGTTTTAGTATGAGTGCTTTCCGCTACACGTCCAGAAATGGGGTGTTGCCATGGTTCCGGCGCAATCTGCTGATATTATTATTATTCACTAGCCCTTGGCGGATTATGTTCGGTAAATTGCTGAATTATGCTTTCCATTATGCCCAAATTATGCCAGTGATTATGCTACGTTATGCTGGAATTATGCCGATGATGGTGCTATGCTATGCTGCGGTCCAATCTAATGGTATGGTGAACTCAGTAGATACAGCCCTTGGCGGGTTATGCTAGTTAAATTGCTGAATTATGCTTTCCATTATGCCCAAAGTATGCCAGTGAGTATGCCAGTGATTATGCTCAAATTATGCCAATGATGGTGCTATACTGTACCCTTGCACTCTTGTTGCACTTTGCAACGTTACAATGACTCTGGCACCATGACAGCACGGCTTGTAGGGGGTAACATTCACCAGGTTATTTCCTATAACATGCCTAAAAGAATTAAAATATGCCTGGAGCATTGATCTTCAGCCAGCATCGTAAGGTTATGCCGACCGTCTGGTCTCAGAAGTCCTTTTATCCCAGGGCATAATGTTAAGAGAAAATCCGAAGATTATGCCAGAAAATATGCCAGCATAATCCGCCAAGGGCTATTATTTGTAACTTGCTAATCCCTACCCTTTTGTGTACGTGCTTTTCTTTTCTTTTTTCTCTTCTTCCGTGGTTGGTCTCACCCTCTCCTCAATTCAATTGGATGTCTTGACATGCTACGAGGTGCAGAAATAAATAAATAAATAATATTCACTGGTTTGAGGGAAAGACGCAAAAGGGAAATAGTATTATTATTATTTACTTTTGAATAGGGCAATCCCCACAGGCCTTCTTACAGGGTACCCTATGTGATAACCAAGGATACAACAAGACATTGGGAAATTAGAGGCCACGTGCCACGTACTGCTCTTTTCTGTCGGAAACTCAACACTTGCAAGCCAGATATGAAAGAAAGAAAGAACAAATCATCAGTCACACAACCAGCAATAGCAATAGCAATGGCAATGGCAAGGTCCCTGGTTCGAGTCCTGGTTGTGTGACTGATGATTTTTTTTCTTTCTTTCATATCTGGCTTGCAAGTGTTGAGTTTCGGAGAGAAAAGAGCAGTACGTGGCATGTGGCCTCTAATTTCCCAATACTTTGAAATTCTCCGTGAAGTCCATATTTGAAATTGCAACAAGACATGTTCGGTAATCCCCGAATTCGAAGAAGCCTAGAATCGATCAGTGCAAACCGGAATCAGCGTGTGTGTTTTCCTACTCCCTTAATCTTGGCAATTATATTTCACTCTGTATTCAGTGGTGGTGCAAAAAACTTTCGAAATTTAAGAGACCCATGTATACAATCATGCACATGTACCTGATCATGTAACTGATCATGTACCCGATCATGTAACTCTTCTACTAATATCCAAGTACACGTGCATGTACATGTACATGTACATGATGTACACCATTGTACATGACGCAGGGCCGCCGGAACCGGTCCGGTTGGTCAGGTGACTCAGGTTATCACTGGACCAACATCGTAGCCACCAAGACATGTTCCGTGCTATGGAGGGCAAGTGGACCCGCCATATCATACACAAAGTATGAAAGGCGCTGAAACTTCAGGACCAATCAAAAACAGCTTCGGACGGTACTGCATGTACATGATGTGATGACATTGCTTACCACTGAGTTCTTACTCTGTCTCGATGTTGCACCTGCGTGGGCGTTTTTAAATCAATTTTTGTCTGCAGGTATGGTTTCAAAACAAGCGAGCCAGGGAGAAGCTTTTACCGGGAGCCACCGGCGCACGAATGCCTGCTCCAGTTTCAAGCAGTGGTTCTGGCATGACGGCTGCGACTCTTTCCACCACCACCTCTGAAAAACCGGTTCTCTCGGCAACAGGACAGCCCATGCCACCACTCTCCCCTACTAGTACCTCGCCCACTACTCCTCCGGCGACAAAGCCAGCCAGCTAGCACTATAGTATAGCTTGTTTTAGCACACCACCGAAGAACAATACGTCGCAGTATGCTAAATCCTCCCCACTCTACTGAACCTATGACAATTAGAAACATTATTCACAACCCCGACAGCTATTATTAACGTGACGCAGAGGTCCACCGAGACACTAGCATCATCATCATAATAGTCGGACATTAGCTCGCCCGCATTCAGCGGACCTAGCAGGCCCACAGCTGTAGTGACTGTAGTGACAGATCCCACCCACTGATGATCATGATCCACCCAGCCCGGTGTGGTCCAGGAAGTCAGGAAGAATACGCCCTGATAGCTCAGCTTTGGCCACTTTGTTACAAGAATGAGACACGCTGTGTTGTCGATGATCAAAGATCCTAGGTGTGAGAAGGGTGCGCTTTTCAAAACTGTGATCGTGCACAGGAGCTCCTCTACTTTCCCATTGTTGCTAGTTATGGCCAGCTTTGAAGATACGTGTACAAGTATCTTAGCTTGAACTGAGTAGCTTCAAGCAATTAATTCTCAACGGTTCGAAGTGTTCACAATCCAGCTAAAACACGCAAGCTAAATAACTTATGACGCTGCTTAGAAAGTTTTCCAAGTAATCTTTGGACGATTGATATTATCCTTCCAGTCCTGCCCTACAGTGCTAAGACGTGGCCACGATTTAGGCTGGCCGAGCTGACTTGTAGTAATTTCTTGATTCCGTTTTCAAATTGTTGATTCTCTGTTACATATTGAGGTACTACCTATTTCAGTAGTGATATGTGCGTCCCAGTTCTCGCTATCATGACATGTCGAACCGTGACCCATTGTCCTGAAGTAGCACCTCCCGACTGGGGAAGATCATGTACCCCCTGAGTAGCCTTTGGCGGATAAGGCTCGAAAATATTGGCAGATTCTGCTCGAAAAGCAGTTGAACTTGGCAGAGCCGTGCAAACCTTATGGAAGGCATTTCCTTGCTCCTCCATTCCTTTATCCACATACCAAACATGCATGAAATGGTACCAGATTCTGCCAAGTGTTCTGCCTGCATCATCCGCGAAGGGTTACCCCTAAGTGTGTGCTCCGCTGGTGCGGTAGAGACTCGTGCAGTGGCAGACCGAATTAGTCTAGGTCGCTGCTACAGAACTACCGACATGCATGCTAGAACAATATCGGACTGCTGGACCAAGTTCAGAAGCAAGGTTGACTATCATCATGCAGCGTTCACAATCCTGGCAGAGGTGCTAGGTGCTACAGTACAATCATGTAACGTTAGTTAGAGCCAGGTGATAATAATAATATCTTTATTAGGATGACCGATGCATACTCTCTAGACAGTCTTCGCCACCCGATCTGTTGTTCTTACTGTTTATCTCCACTTTTCCACACCATCCGTTAAAGTGCTCTTTCCAGCGAGTCCACTGTTACTAGGCTTATGCCTGTTTTGATTCCCACTATAAATAAAGTACACAACAACATCAGCAACTCGACCACAGTCTGCACAGTGTATATACAAAATATCCTTGCAGTGCCTGATTGCCAGCTGGCAAGACACAAATTCACAAATATGTACATGTACATGTACATGACTTGTACAGTTACATGTATGTGTACATATATATGCAATCAGTGTACGTATACATGTACAGTACCGGTATTACTATTAGGATACTAGTAGTAGTAGTAGTAGTACGTGATTCTTACGCAACTCCAGAGAAGAGGTTCCTTTCATGATGGTATTTGACTCAAGTGCAGAGCACATAGGAATGAATGGTTGCTTGTTTACCAGTATGTCACCCTAGCGAGTTGATACCTACTGCAATGTACATGATTGTATTATGATTGTACTGGTATGCATGTACGAAGCGCGCCTACTGACTGACATAATGGAAAAAATGAAGTCATTGTCATCCAGATAATGAGAAAGCAGTCATTTGTCAATGAATGTTTGGCGAAATTGGTTCCTATTCATCCTTTCAGGCCGGTGCGGATTGGCTTTAAGTGCTCAGGTCCAGGTACAGGTACATGCACCGTGTTTATGGTTTTAAAATATGTGATTTCACAAGCAATAGAACATTGTGTCACCCTCCGGCTAGCTCCTTTCTTTGTTTGAACTCTTCAAGTGACAAAAGTCGAGATGAAACACTCCAAATTGGGTATGACACGAACCCAGGTCCTTAATCACGACACTAATCACGCAGGTGGACGTGAATGTAGACGTGACAATTCTACGTGCTAGTCAAGACTTCAAGATTAAATATTAGTTAATTAATACTGCAATACTACTGCCTGGTCGATGCAGGGAGTACACACGTGCAGTGCTGGCAACTGAAATCCGACCCTCTGAGCGGTGGGTTCACATTCTAGCGGTCTCTGTTTCGTAGTTTTACCATCCCGTGTTGGGTCTTTGCGATGTGAGCGCACCGCTCAGGGGGTCGGATTTCAGTTGCCAGCACAGTACATGTATTTTGTATGTGCCAAAACCTGTTTTAGTACTCCCTGCTTGAAAGTACATGTACGTGAGTCGTGAGTTCATCATGCACGGCTATAATCAGACGCACACAGATCAGATTTCATTCCGCAACTCCAGGAGGCGTCAACAGAACAAAAACAAAGCGCAGTTCTTGAACTACCGGTATTTCGGATTTCACTCCAACATTCAAGAGTGCTTGAAGTCTTTTATTCTCGTGTTGAATTCTTTATTCTCACGATGGCACCATCGCCAATAATAAGAGAAGTGTTGTTGTTGTTGTTTTACTTCAAAGTTGCATTACAAACAGGCGGCCATGCCTTCTTGCATGCATGAGACATACATGTACATGTAGTTATACATCATATTACATGTATGAAGAGAACACTATGTCACAGTGAATGAAGTTCTGACAGTGTCAGTATCCTAGTAATTAATAATTATGGATAACAAGTTAACGACGGAATGGGTTTGCTCCCACACTGGAGCTCGCGCTATTCCGCCGACTTGACTTGACACTTGACTGACTCACGACTGCCATCCAGAGCACACGAGACGTCCATCGAACCTTCGACTCGGCAAACCTGCGAGAAAGCACCACTCCCTGCTCAATACACAGTGTTTCGGGGAATTCACCCATCATCAGTTAATCTTCCTCAGCCTACTCAAGCTCAACTGATGAGGGGTGAATAATTCCCCGAAACACTGTGTATCGAGCAGGGAGTGGTGCTTTCTTGCAGGTTTGCCGAGTCGAAGGTTCGATGGACTTCTCGTGTGCTCTGGATGGCAGTCATGAGTCAGTCAAGTGTCAAGTCAAGTCGGCGGAATAGCGCGAGCTCCAGTGTGGGAGCAAACCCATTCCTAAAAAATCATCGCCGAAGTCGCAACCACTATTTCGTAAAGCTAACAACGCATAACAAAATAGACAGAAGACCAAAACGTTGTTCTAGCTAGCAGCAGATGATGTTAGTGAGAGCATGGATGGCATTGGATGCTGGAAATAATGTATTGTGTTACTAATTTGTGTACTGGTACATCTACGGCCCTACCCGAAATACACGCCCAAGGGTCTACGTGTACATGTATTTCATGCAATAGTACATCGGCATGACTTACATGTACCTTCCACTGCATGCTGTGTGAGTCCAGTTGCAACACCAGGACAACACTCTCGTCAATGACGTCATGGTCATTGAAGACCCGGTTACCATGGCTACCCGGTTACGCTCTGGACATTCCAGAACTGCAGAGTGCAGTGGTTCGACATTGCATATGATGGGCCGGATTGGCGGCAGGATATCACCAGCTTGCTGCCTCCTCCTCCTGTTCCTCTACCTGTTAAACCCCGTCTTCAACTGCGTATGCAAACGATCATACAAAAATTGAGCCAGCACAAGCGAAAAGGGACCTTATCCGTTTTTTGGGCATTTTGAGTTAGCAACGGATTCTTGTAGCCAGAGAACGTATGAATCAGATAAAAAAAACCGAATGAAAATCCATCAACATATAGCAAAGCTACGGACGTTTCAATCAACACTGTTTTCACCAAAACATCGCACATATTCACGAATAATCTTTGAAATGCGTAAATTGCAATAATTTGGCCATAGAAGCCTAACAGAAGCCTTCGAGTCACCAGCAGAAGGGCTGGAGGATACAGTATACACACACTACTGGGCAGGTGGCATAAGTTTCACTGTGATGGAATTTATAGTGCCAAGCGTGACGTCTGATGGGCCATCACGTCCTTCCGTACCACGCAGGCACGCCGCATTTTAGATCTATTAACAAGAATAATAGAATGTTCTGAGGCATGTAGTTTGACACAGCACCAGACTCTAGCAATTATCAGGCTCAAAACGTGTGTTGCAGTACGCAAGTTTGTCATTCCTCCGGCACAGGCGGACACAGCTCATCCTTGTAAGGGTCTGCCACAAACGGCCGGTTATCCTTGAACAGGTACTTCTGGCGTTCTTGTGACAGACCTGCTGGGGGCAACACTTGGGGAAGGCCTGCTGCTCTCACCTGCTCAGGTGTGGTATTCAACAGCTGAACACGGTCAGTCAGCTGATGCATGCAGTCGTCTTCTGCTCCTCACTCCCAGCCGCCATCACGTTGCGCCGCAAGTCCTCGCACACCGGGCAAACATCCATGCGAGCCGTCATGAACTTAATATGCGGCAATGTCTGGTGCCAGATGGAGCGGAACGTCGACAAGGATACAGATTTCTTACCCTCCTTGTGGGAGCAGTCGCAGAAGTCTGCATGCACGGACTTGTACGTTTGTGACGCTGGAAGGAAGATAGGTGGCGTGTCGTCTCTGCCACGGAGTGGCGCAGGATGTGGAATTCCAAACACTTCCGCGTGCCGAGTGATGTACTCCGCGCAGTACTTCACAACAGCAAACTCCAGGACATTGTGTGGCCGTTTGCCTGTGTTGCCGTGCACTAGTGGCACAAGCCCATTCTTCTCCAGGTGGCTTCTGTACCGTTTCAGCCTCTTGCTAGACAGTGCGTACACGTGACGGAACGCACCCACACAAACAGTCAGTCCTTGGAATTTGTAGGTAAAACGCTCCCTCTTGCGCTTCTCTCCACTCTCAAAAACTGTTTCAGGATGCCTCAAAGCTTCAAGAAGGCCCAGGACCACCAGCTCACTCTCGTGCGACTCCATTTCTCTCATGTTCAGGATCGACGTCTCGATGTCAGCTGGGTCAAATTGCTGCAAGCAATTTTTTGAACATCCGCAGTTCTCTTTTTGACGAACAGTGTCGTCCTCCTCTGCCGGCGCAACGGTCGCTTCACAAGCTGCTGCGGAGCTAGCCTGCGGAGGTTTGGGCTCTGCCTTTCCGACATACAGCTCTGCTGCTGCGTCGACATCCACTCGCTGCTGAAGAAAGTGCCGCCGTCGTCAGGTTGAACCGAACGTCACTGGCGTCCGACTCGTCTTCCTCACCAAAAACTTCAGCCTCATCTCTTCCAGGAGAGATTTCAGCGCTTCGTTCACGGTGAAACATTTACGATGGCTCATAGTGAACAGCTACGCCGACCCAAGGACTTAGCAGAAAGCGAAGACGGCAAGACAACTGCGCTGAAACTGTGAAAGCAACTCTTTGTCTTTCCGCTCGCGCGTGCGATTTTATTCAGCGGAGGTGTCGACGTGTCACCTGGTCACGGTCGATCGATTTTGATCGCCGATCGGTGGTACGTGGGTCGATTTAGCCAGGGTTTTCTTCTACAGGAGCTGTAGGATACTGGCTCTCCAATACAAAGAATGACTGAGCTCCAAAGAAGTCGCGTATCGCCAAAAAACGAACAGTTTCAAGTTCGATCCGAACG